CTGCCAGCGTGTCCATCCGGCGGTGTGACGCAGCCTGGCGGGCTCGCCTTCAAATCCAGCCCTTGCCCGTAACCCAGAAGCTCGATGGCCCCCCTTCCCTTCCCGGCACCCCAAACCTGAGATGTCCACTGGCATGGAGATGCAGCGACTTAGCAGGGGGGCGGAGGGGGCTTCCAGGGAGGTGGGCTTCACGGGGTCCCCTGGGGGAGACAGGTGTTCAGGCTCCTGCTCTCGGAGCTGCCCAGTCTAGAGCTAGGAAGTGGGAGTGGGGAACAGAGGGCCTGGCAGGGGTCACCAGTTCTTGGGGACTGTGGGCCTAGGAAGTGAGGCCGACGGGGGCATGAGGCTTCGGCCGTGGGGCTGGACGAGTCAGACCAGGAACCCAGCTCAGGGAGCTGGACAGCTGGGCCGGCGCTGGGCTTCCCGGGAGAGGGAGCTGGGCCAGCCTCGGCGCCGGGGACCAGGCAGGGGTCACCGCAGTACCTGCAGGGCCAGGCAGGGGGGCCCCGGCGGGGTCGGGTGGCCTGCCAGGGGCCTCCCTCGGCTCCTCCGTCACCGAAGTGGTGAGCACCCGCTTGGAGCCACGCACAGGGCTGGTCCGGGTCTGCAGGCCGGGGCTGGGGAAGAGGCGCAGGGGCTGGATCTCCTGGGGGCAGACGGCAGCCTCGTGCGTGTTCTGAGACGCGAGCGCCCCCGCTCCCCTCCCGTCCTTTCCGCCGGACTCACGTGGCTGAAGAGCTCGTTGGTCAGACCCAGGTAGTTGTGGAGTGCCAGGAAGGTGACCCGCTGCAGCCTCACCATGATGATCTGCGGGGGCCGAGAGGGCCCAGAGGTCGGTCAGGAGGGGCGGCCAGGGCCGCGGCCAGGCCACGGGACAGAGCGGGGGCCAAGCACGGGGGAGAGGGTCTCACCAGGCCACGGCGGGAGAAGGGGGCAAGGGCGGCTGGGCAGGGCTGAGAGGAGACACACCATGGGCCCGCGAGCTGGGGAGCGGCCCGGGCGCTGCTCAGCGCTGATAGCACAGCTGGAGCTGAGCGCCCCTGGCTGGCACCGCCGCAGGCGCTGGGTAGCGGGGAGGGTGGGGAGGCCACCGACCTGCACCACCCGCACCAGGCTCTCCGGGTACTTGGTGAAGACGGCGGAGAAGGCCTCCACCGGCAGCCGCAGCACGGTGGAGTCCCGGGCCGCCCTGGCAGAGACGGTCCGCTGGGGGTGCTGGTGACCCTGGGTGGGGGTGGGGGAGCATAAGGAGAGTTGAGATCTGGGGCCTCCCTGGTGGCAGCGGGTCAAAGCGCAGCACTAAGAAGCTGCTGCAGCCCCTGCAGCACGAGTTCGATCCCCGGCCAGGGAGGGACCCCAGGGCGCAGCAGACCCCTCCTGTCTCGCCACCGCTCCCCTCAGCAGTGTACTCTGTCCGTCTGCCTGTTTTGCTCCCCACTCTGCCTCTGGTGAGACCTTTCACCCCCCACACCTCTGGCCTGTACCCCAGTTCTTATGTGCACCATAAATAAATCTTAAAAAAAAAAAAAAAAAAAACAAGGGGGGAAGGGGGAGGGCTCCAAGCCTCCTCCCCGTGGGCGGGGACTGACACTGACCCTACCAGACTGACTGAGCCCCAGACTCCCTGCCCCAGCAGGCCCACGCGGGTATCCTGACCCCGCCCCGCGCCTGCCCACTCACTGTTATGACATCCAGGATGCTCAGAAGGCTGTTGACGCTGTCCCCGGGGACCACCTCCTTCACCACACACTCCTTTCCATCCTAAGACGGGCGCTGCTGAGCCGGCTGCCCACAGGGCCCAGCCCCCACCCCCCTCCCGGATGCCCCGCAGGGCCCAGCCCCCACTCCCGCTCCCCTCCCCGATGCCCCGCAGGGCCCAGCCCCCCACACCCCGCAGCCCTTCCTGACACCCTGCGCCCCAGGGCAGCCACCTACAGGGCCGGGCAGACAGAGCTCCAGCAGCCCGTCCTGCACCACGTAGATGCTGGCGTCCGGCTGGCTCGGCCGGAAGACGTAGTCGCCCTGGCCGAGGCGCTGGAAGACCATGTGGCGGCAGAGTTCGAGGAACAGCGGCTTCTCGAAGTGGCCCAACACCCTGTGGGGCAGGAGCAGGGCGCGGCCCTCAGCCCCCGAGAGGCCCGACCCCGCCCCGCGCCGAGCCCCGCACCGGGCACTGACCGGACGTTCTTGAGCATGTAGAGCACCTCGGAGGGCAGGTGGGAGTTGGCCAGGTCGCCCTCCGTCAGGTCGGCCTCCAGCACCGAGGGCGGCGGCTCCTTCCGCTGCAGTGTCGGGGCCTCCTTCTGGATGCGCAGGATCCTGGGGCGCGGGGGCAGGCAGAGGCTCAGAGCCCCGAGACCCCCCACCTTACGCCCAAGCCAGGCCCCGCCCGACTGCGGCACCTGGCAGCACCGGCCTCCTGAGCGCACCCGGATGCTGTCTCTCAAGCCGCAGTGGCCTCGACAACTGCCACTTTCCTGTGGCCTTCCGGGCCTGGGACGTTCCCCGAGGAGCCACTTACAGGGGCAGTTTGCTGACCACTGATGTAAAACCCCATACCCCCTCCACTGGGCACAGGCCCTGAGATGAGTCTCCCAGTGAGACACAGGCAGGGTCTCGGTGTCCCAGTGAGACACGCCCCTGCCAGGGCGGGGGCGGAGCCCTGGGAGCACCTCAGCTTCACGGCCCCTGGTCCACCCTCCGCCGCAAGGCAGCTTCGCCCGAGCCAGACCCCTGGGGCAGCTCCTGTGTCAGGAGGAGACCCCGGCAGACTCTCGGCTTTGTCAAGGCCCTGAGGCAGCCCAGGTTACAGAGAAGCCCGAGGCGGCCCCTGTGATGGTCACGGGCCCAGGCAGGGACCCTAGGCTCTTGCCCCACTGCCCATCACAGACCTGGGTCAGCGTTTCCCTGCAGAACGGTTATCACTGAGAGGACCCCTCCTCTGGTCACGAGACCGAGGCTGGGCCTTCCTGGCTGTGCAGGGCTTAGAGTCACAGTGCTAGCGCCAGCCCCGGCAGCACGAGTTCGATCCCCGGCCAGGGAGGGACCCCAGGGCGCAGCAGACCCCTCCTGTCTCCTGCTGCTCCCTCAGCGGTGCATTTCAGAGGATCCGCCTGTTCTGCCCCCCTCTGCCTCTGGGGAGTCCTCTCACCCACACTCTGGCTTGCATTCAGTTCCTGAACCTATGTGGGTCACTCCCTGGCCAGGGACTGAACTCGCTGCTGCAGTGGCCGCAGACAGCTTCTTACTCTGTGCTTTAACCTGCTGCGCCACCAGGGAGGGCCCATAAAAAGAATCTTTTAAAAAACAGAGGACTCCCCCCCCCCCCAGCAGCCTCCCTAGCGTGGGAACAAGTCCAAGGCAGATGCCTTCTGATGTGCAGATGAGTGACCTAACGCCAGCAGAAAGGAAGCTGGAGCAGCTCCTCCAGCTGGCCAGACACCCCCACCTGAGGCCGTGGGGGTCCATGAAGTGGCCCGCTGGACACCCAGCAGAGCCGCTGCATACACGACACAGTACTAAGACACACACTGGAGTCCGAACAGCTCGTCACCGTGCTGGGAGCTACTGAGCTGCCCCAGGGGACACAGGCCCCAGACACAGCCGGTCAGCTGTGGGAGGACTGATTAAGTTCCCAGGCAGCTCAAAGGGGTCAAGCCCTGTGGACACGCGCTTTGGGGCGTGCGACCCCTCAGCCCCTGCAGACCCCCAGCACAGCCCCAGCACCAGGGACACTCAGCACAGCCTTACTTCTTGGCAATGTTGAGCATCTTGAGCTTCTTCTTCATGCGGGGCCGGGAAGTGGTGGAGACTGAGGCATCCACCAGGGAGGAAGTGGACTGTGATACCTGGGGGGATCAAAGGTGGAGGCTGGGGACCTGGTCAGCTGCTCTGAGCCTAGAAAGGCTGGGCGGCCCCAGAGCTCCTTCGAGGAGGAGGGGGCTTAGGCAGGGCTTAGGCGGCTCGGCGGGGAGCCCTGCACTCACTTTCCGCATAATCTTCCTGCCGTAGAAGAGCACTTTGTCCCTCTTCCGGAACCGGTACCGCGGGCCCTCGGGGGCTGGAGTTTCTGGGGAAGGGGGGACAGGCGCTCAAGGCTCCGGAGACTCCACACGCCCGTCGGCAGGGCGCAGAGATCCCGGCAGGTCAGCTCCCCACCCGCGCCTCCGGGGGCCCCGGGTGCTCACTGGGCACTCGCAGCCGCCGCACCAGCAGGAGGATGAGCACCGCCGTGACCAGGACCGCGACTCCGGCCCCGATCATCACGCCCAGCACCTGCGGGACGAACGGCACCGGCTGCGCCTCGCATACTCGCCCCGCCGCGCCCTCCAGAACCCCGTCGCCCTCCGCCGCCTCGGCCCCCGAGGAGGTCTCAGTCAGCCCGAGCCTCGATGTCCCCATCTGCAGAATGGGCCGGCGCGGCTCCCTCCCCGGGGGCGCAGCACTTCCCCGCGGCCCCGCGTCCGCGGTGCACGCCGGGAACGGTAGTTCGGTCTCAACTGACGTAGCCGGGTTCTCGCGGGAACACGATGCTGCGCGCTAGGCACGCCGGGAGTTGTAGTCCGCGCGTCGCCGCACCGGCCCCGACCCTTACCATGCCAGTTTGCAGCGGGGCCTCCATCACTGCAGGCTGGGCCGCAGGCCTGGTAGTTCCCGAGTCCTGAGGAATTTGAAGCTGGAGGAATCGGTGCAGGTCGTCACTCGGACCCGCCCCTTCCCTGTGGCTACCCGTTTCCTCTTAGCACAAGCCCTGCCCACTTCGCCGGCCGAACGGCCCCGCCGCGGGCCGGGGGGGGTGTGCAGCACGCTAGGGTGGGGCAAGTTAACCTCGAGTTTCGGGCTGGCATGAGTCGTGCCCCCGCCGGCGTCTCCGCACCTATTTCCCGGGCTGGCCTGACGCCCCCCGTCCAGCCCCACCCTAGGGCCGAAGGGCAGCCGGCCGGAGCCGGGAGGACACTGCTCCCTCCCACAGGTGCCCCCCCCCTCGGGCTCTGCCAGGCGGGACTGACCAGCCCTGACCAACCGACCCCTAGGCCGCAGTCCCCTGCCCCCCACCCCCCACCCCCGCGAGCACCGGGTGTCCCACTCCAGGGACACAGAGCCCCGAAAGACGGGGGTTGGGAGCCGCCTGGCTCCCGGTCAAAACCTGCCCCGGGGAGCCCCAGGAACCGGGGCGCGCGGGGGCGCCCACACCAGCGGCCGGCGGTGATGCCTAAGGCTCGGGCGGGTCTGGGATGCTCAGTGGACGCGCTCGCAGACGTTACTTGGCCGGTGCTGGAGATGTGTGGCAGCGTCAGAGTAAAGTTATGGGGCCTCTGACGGCGTGGAGCAGCAGCGGGACTCCGGGGACGGTGCCGACGCCATTGCCGGGAGGCGTAACCCGAGATGCCCGAACTACTGGGGGCGCTGGAAAGTTACTGAGTCCAAGGACTGCTGGGCTGCTGGGACCTGCAGGTGGCGGGCGCGTTTCTGGCGCTACTGGAGTATAGTAAAGGGAACCTGGGCGAGCTACGGGGCCCTTGCGGCCCTGCCTGGAGACTGGGGGGACGAGTCCCCTCCACCCCCGGGCGCACCTGGCTACCGGTGCGGAAACACCTGCCGGGAACGGGGGATTGGGAGGACCCGACTTTCTGTCGGAGACTGCCAGGAATCGGCGGAGGCCAGGTCTTGGAAAAGCCGAGGGCTCGCTGACGATCCTCGAAGGGACGCCCAGCGGGGCCGGCGGAAAGTCGGACTCACCCAGGGGCTGCAGCCGGGGTCCACTCTGCACGGACTCCGCTATCGTTCCGCGCAGCGCCGCGGGCGCGGCCCCTTTAAATTATTCGCCGCAGGGCGCGCCGCGGCCC